ATTTGATCACATGCTCCATCAGTCCCAGTCCAGCTGGCCTTAATGAGCTCCCATTAGATCAGTCCCATTGTCTCAGTTGGTGGATGCACCCCTCATGGTCTTGACCTCCTTGCTCATGTTCACCTCCTCTGCTCCTCATTTGGACTTGGCAGCTCAGTCCAGTGCTCCTATGTGGGTCTCTGCCTCTATCTCCATCCATCGCCAGATGAAGCTTCTATCGTGATACGCAAGATATCCATCATTGTAAAATACACTTAAAGATGAAAAATACATGGGGAATCTTGAAATTGTGTATTATTGTGTTGCCTTTGAATTGTTTGACTACTAAAGAAGAAATAACTGCTAAAAGACATTGATTAAAAGTGCTGCTGGATATATCCAACCTATATATTTTAAAATACCTTGACTTCAAAATATAAGTCACAAGATATGCTACTTTTGGAAAGAGGTTTTCCTTTTGTTTCCCCAGGAAATGAGAGCCTGTGGATTCATTCTTGGTTAAGAAAAATAAGGTTTGATTGAGGAAGACCCCCTGAAAAAATCTGCAATAGAAGCATGTGACCCACAGGATCCAACATTTAGATCTCCTTTGTTCCACTTTCCTCTAAGAACAACTTCGAGACTGCTGGCTGATAAGATCGAGTCACATAGAATACTCCAGTCAGGATTTGACCATAATCCTCAATTTTCTTTGGGTTCCCATAAGACTAGCAGTACCCTCAATCATCAGGAAGTAGTCAAGAAAACTATGCCCACATATTTCTTCATTTATTCTTCTTTGAAAGGACACATTGATTGTTAACAAGAGTCATATCTTTACATAATTCTGTAACTAAACACTTAGATAAAAAAAATAAAATATCAAATACAGCTTGAATGCTATGTCAAAAAAAGGCAAGTAAACTGGGAATCCCAATTACTATAGTTTACCGAATTTTAAGTGCTCTATCTGCTAAGGGTGATGCTAAAACTTTCATGCACAATTTAGAATGACGAATGTCATGTCTGAACCAACATTAAACCTTGGCAAGTCAGGATTCCCAGTTCAGAGAATTAGATGCATAAAATGTCACATATATGTTCATCAGGACCTCATTTTTTGGGAGCCAGTCTTTGATCAGTGAAGAGATTGTTATTTGTATTTTGATGATGATATATCACTGCTGTACAATCTTAATTTTTTGTGCTGTGTCTGTATTTAAAAAACTTTCACAAATTTCAGGTATTTTCTGAATTTAAACAATAAATACCATCTTAGCCTATGGCCCACAGAACAGGGCCAGTGATTTTGAAACATCAAAATTTTGAAGAGTCCTTTTCCAATTTAGACTGACTCAGAATGGAGATCTTTTAGGTATCATAACAAATCCACTATATGAGAGACAAAGTGTATTGTTTTAACACTCATAGACAATGGTTATGGTTTCAACACTTTAGAAATGTTTGCCGATTATCTGCTTCAATCTCATCAGACATTTAAATGCAAATATTAATTTTTATCTATCTATATATATATATATATATATATATATATATCCTCTAAAATCTTTCCCCATATGAATGACATATAAATTGTTGTAATGTTTTTACATATATTCATAATGGAATTATGTTTAGTTCCGGAAGTTGGTAGTTATTAATAATCAATGCAGCAATTTCAGAATGACAGGGTAAGAACATTCTTTATATTATATTAAATCACCAGATTGTCTTTAAAGATCTTCTTACCATTTCCATTTCTATCAAGATTCCATAGAAACTCAGGATTTTGCCTAACACATTTCATAATTTTGTTGTGACTGTGTTCTGTATTTTCAGTATATTCATATATACATAGCAGTTTATAACTAGCTCTATTTATTTGTTCCAGGAGCACAAAATATATCATATATTTTCTCATACTAAACAAATGTGTAAGATATAATGAGCATACGAGGATATACTGTGTATGTCATTTTATGAGGTATATATTGAGGACAAATTATAAAATAATATAATTTCAATTAAAATAATAAATATGTAAAATGAATAAAATAATGGTATGGCTTCATTGTTCAACCAAATAGTTTATTGAATATTTAAGACAGTAATTGTTATACTTTCTGCGGGGGAAGAGGGTAGAGACGAAACGCGAGACACACGGCAGTGCGGGATTAGGAAGGAGACACAGACATGCGGCGGTCCCACGTGGGTGCACTTTAATGGGGGGGGTGACAACAGGTAAGGGACAGGTGTGAAGAGACAAGAGGAAAGGGAGGGAGAGAGAGAGTGCGGCTTATGGCGACCCTCGCTTTTAATGGGGAACACAAGGACATCTGGGAGAAATGCCCTGTGCCTGTGAGGCTTCCAGACCAGGGGAATGCTGGGAGGCGTAGTTTCAAAAGGAACAACAGTAATGTTTCAAGGAAAAGATTTTTAAAAATTTCATGTCTTTTTTCAGCGTATTTCACAGATAAATATATGGTATGTTATTAAGGTCTATCTCATACATTATCTTCACAGATTGTCGTTTTGGTGTTGATCTAAGTCATCTTTAAAACACAAGGCTCAGGGGACTGGAGAGATGTCTCAGTGGTTAAGAGCACTGACTGCTCTTCCAGAGGTCCTGAGTTTAATTCCCAGCAAGCACATGGTGGTTCACAACCATCTATAATGAAATCTGGAGCCCCCTTCTGGCATGTGGGCACAGTGGAAGAAATGCTGTACACATAATAAATAAATAAATCTTAAAAAAAAACACAAGGCTCACTAGAATTTTCATATATTATACTTAATGATTGCCCTAGTTTTATGTTTGTGATCAACTCTGTGATAATTTTTAGAGAGCTTATGAAGGATGAATTTGTGCCAAAAAGTTTTGGTTTTAAAATGGATATACATTTGTTCTGTCAATTTTCAGAGGACTGTAATTTGCTCATTTTCTTTCTTTTAGTTAATTGAGGATAAATTTCTGGTTTTGCTGAACTGTCATTTGGTTCCCCACATATTGGACGTAAGATAATTATGAAAATAATTGCTAACACAGAAAATGTTGTTGAGGTAGTTTCCATTTGTTACCAACACCTTTTTACAGTCAACTACATTGACTGTTAAATTGGTGTTAACTTAATAACAGTGGCCACATTTTTTCAAAAAATTTGGAAGGCACTAGCATCAAAATGATGTCTATGTTTGGCAGTCAATTAACAAGAGAAAATTTTAAGGAAAAATGTGAACAAAATACACACAAGGTATTTACATTTATACTTTGAGATATGGTACCTCCTTTGTACCAGGAAACAAAACAAAACAGAACAAAATTTTAAAATAATGATAAAATGATCAAGTATCTCTTTCCAGTAAAATTTATTGTCACAATGACTAAAATAAAGATATATTACAAAATATTAACATTAATATGCAAAGCAATCTATATTTAATGAACTATAGCAGATTTCATTTTTTATCGGGCATGGAGGCATCTAAATACACTCACTCCTATGTTTCCTCTAAAAATAAATGGAAATATATAATGATTTACAATGTGATTGACACAATTCTTAGTATGTTTATTAAATTCTGAAAATAAAAAATAAATATGTCCTAACTGAAGAATAAATTTTATGATTACTAGAAGATTCAGCAATCAAGATATACTATTTATTTATTCACAGAACATGATTGAACCTTTAAAGAAACACCTGTACCCTGAAAATGAAAGTAGGTTACTAAAGAATATATACTGAATGATTTAATTCAAATGAGATTGGACAATGACAAAATACAATAACTTAATTGACAACAGGGATCCTATGACATTGTCTGATGTATAATATTAAGAAAATTTGATCCAAAAGAGCATTTCAATGTTATGAAAACAGTGTGGTATGTGTATAGTAATGTTTATAATTGTGCTTTTGTGTATTTCTTGGTGAATATATAGTATATATGACTATGTATAGTAATACTTATTGTGTCTATTACCTTTTGGAATACATTGCTAAATTAACTGAGTAAACTGTAATCAGAAGTCCATGTTCTAATACTGAATAAGAGTACAGCCAATAATTTGAAGAGAAGTTTGAATGAGTTGCTTCGATTTTGCACAAGAGACTATGAGCAATATTTTTGGGAGCTCATTTCATTAAGAGGATGATTGCCTGTGTGCTTTAACCACATTAAATTTTCTGCAATTAAGTTATGTTGTTTTAGATAAAATTTAAGTATATTTCAAATTAGACAAATAGACTACTTTGTTAATCCATATTTTCCTTCAACTGATTTATTCTATATTGTCAGTTTTTCAGTATCCTGCTAGTCTTTCATCTGTCAACATGTTTTGCTTTATTACTTTCACTACAGATATAAAGAAGAACTTTATGAATCATTCTTCAATATTTAATAAACTGACATAACTGTCTCCTCTATGTACACTGTTAGACACACCATAGTATTTGCATATGGCTCCCTAGGGAGGTCTTTGCTTTGCTGAGCTGACATAAAAGCTCAACTTTGTTCTCACCATCATTAACAACGCTCCTTTGCTCATTGCCTCAAAATGATGTGTCTTGTCCATTCCCTCTTTCTGCTCACATTCTGGATTTTAGGTAAGGAGGGAGGGAGATAAAAGAAGAGAATGGGGAAAAAGGATGAACTCTGGTTGCCTATGAGTGTTGTCTATGTGTGATCAGGCATGCCTTGTCCTCTGGGATGAGCATGTAATGTTTAGTTATGTAGCAATTAGAAATTAAAGGGAAAAGAGCTGTGCTAAGATGAAGATTCTGACTTATATGGGATGAGGTTGTGAAGACTATGACCTTTGGGACCTCTAAATTACTTGTATATGCGTGTGTGTGTGTGTGTGTGTGTGTGCATGCACACTTGAAAAGCATTTGATACATTGTTTTAAAAAAATTCCAAAAGATAACAGGATCTCCTTTGAAATGAATAGCATAAAAGACTTCAGAAAGATTTCTCAGAAAATTTTTACATCAATTTTTGCTACTCTTTTCTAGTTTCAGAAACCAGTGGTGATGTTGTGATGACCCAGACTCCACTTTCATTGTCGGTTGCCGTTGGACAGTCGGCTTCCATCTCTTGCCAGTCCAGTCAGAGCCTCTTATACAGTGATGGGAAAACCTATTTGAATTGGTTCCTACAGAGGCCAGGCCAGCCTCCGCAGCGCCTAATTTATCAGGTGTCCAAACTTGACCCTGGGATCCCAGAGAGGTTCATCGGGAGTGGCTCAGGGACAGATTTCACACTTAAAATCAGCAAAGTGGAGCCTGAGGATTTGGGAATTTATTACTGTGGCCAAGGTACACATTTTCCTCCCACAGTGATGTAGACCCTATCAAAAACCGTCTTGCTTTAAGTGGCCCAGCTGCAAAGTATTGTTTGACTTTACAGTAGCATTTCACTAGTCATCATTGTGAGACAAAGGCACAAGGGAACTTGGGCAATAGTTTGGAGCTCAAAAGTCTGGTTAAACTTGTCTTGCTGAATTAGGGATTTGACTAGATGTGAAATGACATCAATTTCTCGTCCTTCAAGCTGTAACAGACAGGGTATTGCCTCTGCACCAGAATAATTTCATCTCATAATTCATTTTATTGTTGAAAACTTTAAGCATTTAAAATTTTTCATTAATTTCTTGAGCTTTATTTTTAAGGCTTTCCTTTAATGATTTATATTTGTTTGCTAAATTCTCATTCATCTTTTTAAATGCTGAAATGTCTATGCTATATTCTCTTTTAGCTTTCTAAATAGACATGACAGCATTATTTTAAATATCTTTTAGTAGCATATATATATATATATATATATATATATATATATATATATATCATAGGAAAACAAAATCAGAAAGTTGGTATATTCATCCAGAAATTTAATTTTACTGCCTTTGAAATTCTTATTAAGACTTTAATTTAATATTTGTTAATCTGGCATGGTTGTTGAATCTAGAAATTTTATTTATTTTTCCTGTAATGAAAGAGTTTCTCCAGGGAATATGCCTAGGACCTAATTCAGATACTCTGGTTTGTGCTTATTGCATAGTTTGCAAAGTGCCGTAATTGATATAATTTTTCTTTTATTGTAATCAGCATCATGAAAGCCTGCAAGTGTCCTAGTGACCTAAGTTTTGGAATCTTAGGTTTTATCTACCTACTGGATGTGATTTTGTTTTTTATTCTGGTATGTTACATGTTGTCCTTTGCAAACTAGGTTTAGGACAGGCTATCAGTTCCCACAGACTTATCAGGTTTCTTCATGGTTTCTCAATCTGTGAAGGTTCCATATTCTTCTGTAACTTAGGGTGGGCAGTGTATTACTCATTGAATTGACACTTTGGTGAATGAGAGCACAATAAGAAGTAGGTACCTTCTAAGAGCTAAAGAGTGAGAACTCTACAACAGCATCCTACAGTGCCTGATAAGAAAGATTTATCAGCAACAAAGAATTTTGGAGTAGATGTAGGAACTGACAGAGGCCTCACTTATATATTCTTACAGCTACAGAAGAGGGATTTGCTTTCAAATTGATCTCATATGGTTACATGGATTAGTAGACACAAGATATATCATATGCTTATTTGGTTATTCTATATCCTTAAGTATCTTGGTATCTTCATAATGTCTATTTTTTCTCTAGTGTCCTTTCAAATAGTCCGGTTGAACAATATTTATTCTTTGCCCTGGATCGAGTAGTGTAAGTAGTAGTAGAGAAGGGAGCAACTATTGTAATGGAAATCTCCAGGAGCCTTTTGATGATGGTCTCTTTGCTACCTTGAATTAATACATATCTATCTGTCATCTATCTATCTATCTATCTATCTATCTATCTATCTATCTATCATCTATCATCTCTTTGCTTATTTGTCACATATATTTCAGTCTTTTAGTAATCTATCTAATGTCTATGATTGCTTTCTTTCTGTCTCTGTCTTTCTCTTGACAATACACATGTATGCCAGTTTACATTTTCCAGTTTATTCTCTTTCTGATAATGCAGACCCCCTTCTACTTTGCAACTTGTCTCCCCACTATTTTTCTGTATTTTCTTTTATGCAATTATCATTCATAGAGCCATGGACCCTTATGATCATGATCTCAATGAAAGGGTGGTCATTCTTCAGGAAGTAATCTTTAAAAAAAAACTGGTCCTGTCATATATTTAAAGATTTTCTCTCCTTCTCTACCTGCCTCTATCCCTCCCTCCCTCCTTCCCTCTTCTCTATCATGAATTTTGAATAATAATTCTCTTACCCATTAAATATTTCTGCTGATAAATTTTGAAATGTGGGTTTCTCTTTATTAATGATAGTTAAATAACAGTACAATATGCAGATTTTACAATCAATTCTTTCAGTAAACAACAGATCTTCCAAAATATGATGAACAAAGGAGACAAACGCTCAGGAGGATTAGAACATAAGTTCAATTTTTTTAAAGAATAGAGAGAATTATAGCCAACATCAGGTAATCTGCATAGTATGAAGGTAACTGATAATACATTAAGAAAGTATTTAAAAGGAAATTAGATTTTTCTTCAGACTAGTGAGATAATAGATTTGATACTTTTTATTGTGCTATAGCAAAACAAGCAATATCACAAATTTGCAGGGCATTTCTAAACTATTTATTTGCATATCTATACACTTTTATCAACAATGAAGCATACAATACAGAGAAAATTAGGATCTACAGTGAGACTATTTATGTGTGTGTGTACAATTTGCAAACAGTAAGATAGACAGTAAAGATAATATTTCTGAAACTACAGAGTTTCCATGTGGTAGAAAAGAGACATATAGTATTCATTTTCATCAAATGATAACCAAGAAAGAAAATCAGAGCAAGTGAACACTATTGACCAAAACATTCTAGCAAATATTTGTGTAGTATTTTCACATGTTAATTTCAGAAAACGCCTTATTCTTTTAGCAAACATGGTCCAAAATATAAAGTATGATACAAAACAGGTAAATCTTAAAAATTAAAAGTTATATTTTGTATGTTTGGTAAACACAAGACAACCAAAGTAGACATTAATTAAAGCAATGCATGAATTAATGAAATATCTAAGTAATGAACATCCTTACTCTTGAATGACAAATAGAGTAAGAGATAGCTTAAAAAGGTATATTATATTTATTTATTGAAGAATTAAAAGTAAAATAAGCAAACACATGATTCTTTCATAGTTCATCGTCACTATAGAATAGATTTATGTTCACACAGGTTCCCTGTGAGGCTAGTCCTGATTTTAGCAGGTGTGAAAGACCAGATCAGTGTTTTAAAAAGTGTTATAATCAGTGTCATATGCTTATTGTTTAATAGTTTGTGTCAATTAAGTTGACTTGATTTTATTTATTTATTTATTTTGCCTGACTCTAATTTCTTTTTGTTTGTTTGCTTTTTGTTTTGTTTTTTTTTTAACTGTTGAACATGTGTTATTATATCATAACATGCAAACTCCTAAAGGTAAAATGGAAAAGCATGATTAGAAATAATAAGTAAGCAAATAGTTTTTTTTATTTATTTTTTTTATTGCGAAAAGAAGAAAAAAAATAAACAAAAAACAAGTTTCCACCTCCTCCCAGCCTCCCATTTCCCTTCCCCTCCTCCCATCCTTCTCCCCCTCCTCCCACCCTTCTCCCCCTCCTCCCACCCTTCTCCCCCTCCCCCCACTCCTCTCCCCCTCCCTCTCCAGTCCACAGAGCAGTCCGGGTTCCCTGCCCTGTGTTAAGTCCTAGGTCCTCCCCACTCCGTCCATATCTAGGAAGGTGAACATCCCAAGGAAAAACATATAGTTATCCTCTTGGCTAAGGGAAGTAGACCAAATTTCCGGGGAGAAAATGGGATCTTGGGGGTGGTGTGGGATGGGGGTAAGGGGAGATGGGGAGAGAAAAGGTAGAAGGGAAGGAGGGGGGACCTGGGGAAACAGGAGAATTGGGATAAAGGAAAGGTGGATAGGGGAGCACGGAACCACAATTCTTAGTTAAGGGAGCCACTTTAGGGTGGGCAAGAGACTTGACCCTAGAGGGGCTCCCTAGTGCCCAAGATGAGGTTCCCAGTTAGTTCCTTGGGCAGCTGAGGATTGGGAAACTGAAATGACCCTATCCTAGAGCAATACTAATGAATATCTTGCATATCATCATAGAATCTTCATCATCATCTGGTGATGGATAGAGATAGAGACAGAGACCCACACAGGAGCACTGGACTGAGCTTCCAAGGTCCCAAGGAGGAGCAGAAGGAGGGAGAACATGAGCAAGGAATTCGGGACCACGAGGCGTGCATCCACCCACTGAGACAGTGGAGCTGATCTACGGGGAGCTCACCAAGGCCAGCTGGACTGTGACCGAAAAAGCACGGGATAAAACCGGACTCTCTGAACATGGCGAACAATGAGGGCTGATGAGACGCCAAGGACAATGGCAGGGGGTTTTGATCCTACTTAATGTGCTGGCTTTGTGGGAGCCTAGCAAATAGTTTTCAACTGGAAATAATATTGATTTAAATAAGAAAAGGTTTGGGCAGATGTATTTTTATTAACAAAGTTACTATATTTCTAAGAGTACATGTTTCTATCTTTGGCACTATCTAGAGGGTCTGTGATAAGTCTGTGATGTTTGTATTGTAAGACTTTAAGAAAATCCTGAAGCCATTTTTGAGAATTCTGAATCCTCTCAGCCTCTGTGCCATAGTGCTTCCCCTCCTCCCCTGGGAACCAAGGACCTAACAGCTACACTCGCACATACTCAGTTCCTGAACAATTACCCATGTATGTATGCTTTGGTTCGGTCCCCTGGGAAACGGGGTCAAAATGACCTCTTACCTCATCTGATCTGGCAACAGCTCTCCAGTCAATTATTGGTAATAGCCCTTTCAAATAAGCCAATCAGAATAGGCAAAGAACAACCCCCGTTGCTTCTGTGGCCCATTTAAAAGTAGACTGTACCCGCTATTCAAGGTCCCCCGGCTTCCCGAATGCTGGGGGACTCTGTCATGACAGAATTAATAAAATCCTCATGCTTTTGCATCAGCTGTGGTGTATGAGATGGTCACTGGGGGTGACTCCTTCTTGGTGTTTGGACACTAGAGTCCAACAGTATGACTAATAAGAGCATATATAAACATGACAATTTTGGATTGTTTATGAAAGTGTATTTTAGAAAAAATAACTAGTGTTTTGATATTCAATATTTTCTCAGAAATTTATATACTTACCTGAATAAACAATTATTTTTTTATTTTACATCCTGAACATAGTTTCCCCTCCCTCTTCTGATCTCCCTTTTTCCCACCCTCCTTTCTGCTTTCTCTCTCTCAATCCCTTCCT